GTTTTTTACCATGACCTTGTTGACAGACTGAAAAGGGAAGCTCGTGAAAAAGGTCACGCCAGAATTTCTTGGACTTACTGGTTTAAAAAGTTATTGTACTACCAAGTGGCACTTGTTTATGTGCTAACTAGACTCATCACAAATGTTTCACAGGTTAGCATAGAATCATTTTCTGCAACATTTTGACGATTTTTTGAAATTATTTTTCGACCTCATTATTTATCTGCTGATGTTTGCTTGGTGGGCTCAGGCATTTCTTGCCTTCTACGTCATTAATGATCTGCAGATGGCCCAATCTTCCAAAGCTGTGGTACCACATATTAATTTCTTCTCATCATAAGTGTAACTCTATGTGATATACATCAATTGCATGTAAACTTCATTTCTGATAAAAGTGTTTTATATCTTTTGCCCAGGTCCCTGCCGTCATTTATATATGCAGCTTCGTCGTATCAATCCTTCTGCAGGTACACTTGAAGCCAAAATGCCATATGAAATGCTTACTCACTTTTATCGCTCATACATTATACTTCTTTGTGCGTTGCACCTTAAATAAATTCAAATACACATGAATGAAGGAGATCACGTGGGATGGCTGGCGCTTGAAGGCTTTCTATTCCACCGGAGGCCTTCTTTGGATAGTTTCTGGTTCCGTGATTCTCTTTCTGCCGAGCAGTATGAATGCTTTTATGTACATTTTATCGATAGTGATTGGAGTTGCAAATGCGTTGATGATGGTGAGGAAGACCAACATTATTAATTTCCTTATATTTTGTGTCAGGAAATTAGTTATCAACATTCGAAAAGAAAGTATACAATTATTTTTTTCTTTCAGCATTTGTTTATTCATGTGAAAATTTGGTGAACTCTTCGAAATATGATCTTTGTGGGATGACAGGTGTCGGGGGTGAGCATGCAGAGTTTCCTGGTTGGTGAAGATCTCAATGGGTGTGCCTTTGTTTACGGATCGTTGAGCTTTCTCGACAAAATATTATGTGGACTAGCGTTGAGTGTTCTTGAATCATATCAAAGTAAGTTCTTCTGAGGCACTTTAACCTCGCTGTTCACCAGAAGAGTTTCGTCCGTGGCTCACATATATATTTCAACAATTCAACTAGAGAAAAGAAAAAAGAAGGCGACATATTAACATATATGACACTTTAGTTGTTGTTCAATGCTTATATTATTTGTTCCCAATGCAGGTTCCGTTCCACAAGTGCGTAGTTGTCACCACCTGCATTCTTTCTTTTCCATTACCAGATACGGATTGGGTCTTGTTCCAGCATTTTCTGCTTTCCTGGGCCTCTTAGTCACACTCAGAATGAAACTTCCGGAGCCCCACATAACACCTTTGATCCAACCACTATTGGAATAGCACGTGTGAAAAAAAATAGCATAAAATGATATCAAATTGTATTTTTTCATATACTTTTTGAAGTCTTTAATTTTTTTTTTTCTTTTTTTTTTTGTCAGAACGATAGAATCACTCAGATAAACCACCAAATAACAGTTTTGAATACACACAGACCAAGTCCGAGAATGCGGAAGAGAGAGAGAACTACACGCAGGTGGCCTAAATTGAAGCAAACTAGACTAAGAAACCAAGGTAGTTAAGAATACAACTGAAACCTTTGGCTCTAAACAGAAAATCAACAAATCAACAGAGAAAGAAAGACATACATGACAAAAGGATGTCAACTGATCCATTGATCCTAGATGTCAACTGATCCACCGATCCTAGAAACATCCTCATGACTGCCTCCTTCTTTCATAACCACTTGGTCTGAGTAGTTGCATTGACAATGAGAGGAGCCGGCCTGAAGCTTCATTCGAATTGTCATTAATTTCGAGAGTTCCAGGTCACGATAATATATAGGTTGAAAGTTGAATCCAGGCTTCTGAAATTTCAGTTTTATCAAAGTCACTGATATGCCACCACCATTTTAGAAGACTTAGACCTCTAAGGATTTTCCCAACTAATATGAGCTAACTTCCAAACCAGATGGGCTTTTATGACAGTGAAAAAAAAAAAAAAAAAAA